ATAGAATCTTTTATAGAAGATGTTAAAAACATTAATTGATCAATGAGAAAAAGAATGAAAATAGTAAGGAAGCTGAGAAACCACTAAAGAAACATGAGAATATAAAAAAGGAAAGGAAGTTAAGAAAAGAAATAACTATTAAAAAAAGAAAAGAATACTTCCTCAAAGAGCAGATCAGTAAAAACTGGGTGCAGTGTGAAAGTTGGGCTTCTTAGTCCGCGTTATATACCGATCAACAGAACATCGATTATTTAGTTCATGATATTTGAAAATGTGTTTAACACTAGGACTACCAAACGGATCAGAACAACTTATTTTGGATTCGTATTTTTGCAATTTTTTAAAAGACACAATGTTTTTTATGGTTCGCTAACATAGATTCTAAAATATAAATCAATCGAAATCTTAATGAATGCAATTTTGGAATTTGTACAAGGCCATACATACAGGTTAAGCGATTTGATTGCTCGGTAGTTTTACTGTCAAATAAAAGTGTTGTTCTATTTAACACGTTGAATGCCATGGGAGTCACCGGTGACCCCCGACCAAATCGAATTACTATAGTTCACTCAATGAAACGACGATTATATGAAAACATTTCTATATTATAAATAATGGTACATAATACAGTGACATTCAGCTAGATGAACGTGGAATAGTAATAATAGAATTCGATCAAATGATTTAATATTTTATTTTTTTCATTCGGCGTATTTTCCTCTGTGAAATCGTGCGGCGTTCAACGTGTCAAATGTGTTTTATTAAGATTATTAATTATTTAGATCTTAAAATATATTACTTAAGAAGATGTTTGGTACTAGACGACAATTTTTCGATACATTGCAACTTGCAATTTTTTTATTCATGATAATTATTAATATTCATGATAAAATTTAGAGGAAACGGTTTCTGACTCCTTGTTAAGCCTCATTCTTACTAGAAATTTCGTTTTTCTAAATTTAAGTTTTATTAAAAATTGGTTAAGTTATGGTAAAAGAAACTTAAGAGTGTTCAACACTGTACGACCCCCTCATTATTGCAATTAAATGCCAATAAGGACAATAAAAATCATATTAAAGTTGATATTAATGATTTTCGAATTTGATTAGTTTGCAAAAATGTAAAAAACGTTTATGAAATTGGAAATCAAAATCTATGTAAGAATTCACACTTATAGAACAAGAAGATTATTATTTATCAGAAATATTAATATACTGACGTTGAAATGTCTTTATCCTTGTAGACCTTGCATATAAAAATTAAATCCATTCATTAAGAGACGATTCTCGTATAACTAGTCTAAAAGTCGATTTTTTTTTTAGTACATCCATACTATAATATTATACAAATATGTTCTTAAAATCTTTGAATCATGTTTGAGAAAGTAACGAAGTTAGGAAGTCATTTAATGTCACGCGTCAATAGCTAGTGATAATGGTAATAATGTAATGAAATAAAATGGTAATGGTATCAACATTGAAAATAGTACAACTGTGGGAAATGTTAAAAGACGAATGGGTACTCAACTCTGAAATATTTAAAAAAAGAAAAAAACAAATGAAATTTAATTATCAAAATCAATGATTTAAACTGTGAGTACCTAGAAACTGCAAACGCGTTATCCTCGAAACTATATTTTTAAATTTAAATTTCGTAATATATTTCTCTAGTGATTATACTTTTGATTTGTAATATTTTCATTCATATAATCCAAACTTTTCAATCGCAAAAAGTTGAATTTCCCATCAGAAACATAAAACTTAGCTAATTTTTTTAAATTTTTGTAAGAAATTAGTATATCCCAGCACAAACTACCTAACTTTAAGAAACCTTCTTAGTTTTTACATTCTGATGATTATTTGTGCAACACTGCACGCGAATAATTGTTACAACGCTAACGAGGGTAATAATAATTGGATGCAAATTGATTTAATAGTGACAAAAAGATAAATAAAAACACTTTTCCCAGTTTCCAAATGTATCTTTGTAGCCACAAAATAACAAATTTCTATAATTAATAATTTTAAACAAAACTTGAAAAATTAATAGATTTTACTGCTATAAGATGACATAAAAATCCATGTTTTCATCAAACTTATTCGTACACTATGAATGCCAAGTATTTATAATAAAAGTAAGCATATGAAATTAAAAATTGTAAAGATTGAAAGACATTCTTATATTATTTCCAATTTACGAGAATCTTACGAGGACAAATTTTTATTTACTCAGTTCCCATTTTCTGAAGCCTGAATTCCAAATTGGAATTTTTCATAAACTCTCCCAAACCGTTGATTTGTAACTTTGATTTGAATAATTATATAGTACCACCATCGGTAAATGTTATTTGAAATAAAAAGTGCTGTATATCGTGCTGGCCCATACCCGGAGGACACGGTCGTGAAAGAAAAAAGGTGGGGCACACGAAGAGAGATGGGTAGGAGGAAGCACCCGGTATTGCATGCCACTCCCTGGTGAATGTTAAGGTTGGTTTTCGGGCTACTAGAGTAGTCGCGAAGTACGACCCGAAGCGACGTGGTTAATGTGGCAATATGATATATAAGCGGGAGGTACGTCGGCTCAAATAGCCTCTGGTAGATGGCTCTCCTTTCGTGTTCCTGTGACTTCTAGTAAGAACGTAAACACCGCTGGAAATATATGTAAGAGCCGCTGAAACGGGAAAGGACCTTAACGTTCAGTCGTGCGCGTACATAAACACGAAAATATCGTCAGTACATACGTGGAGCGCAAGGGCTTTTCAGTCGGCCGATTACTGCCGCCTTAAATCAATCGAACGATTGAAGTTCGAACGTGGCTGGTATCGCTCGCTATTTACAGCTGATACACGCATAAACACTCATAAACATATACTTCCTATACGTATAGGTGGCTCGTGAAGAGTATTACACGACACGGAGGATGGGTGGAAGACGATTAACGACATCTTACATTCCGCGGCCGATAAATCACCAGCCACTGTAAATGGACTCGGCTTAGTTATCTCTCACCTTGCGTACCTCCGAGAAGTGCTGCTGCCGGAGAAATTATACGGGGATATTGCGGCGCGTGTATTCCATCGGTATCTGTAACTGCGAAATATCATACGCAGGCTACCGTGCCTGCGGCGTGTTGATCGTACTGACGAAAAAATTGCTGATACGATAACTGCCTATACGGTTGCCAATCTGCCGGCACCGAAACAAACTAAGAAAACATGGAAACTCGGCAACCACGTGACCTTGACACATCACTCACCGTATTCCGACTTCTACGTACGCGTTAACAACACTTGAATGTGCGAACACGAATCGCTGCCACATGGAGTTGCGTCTGTCGCAGTGCAAGGAACATAACAGAGGAAAAATACGAAATCCCTACAGTGCTGTATGACTTATTCATGTCCTAACGAGGAATGAGTAAGGAGAATCATTGTGTTTACGTATTGAGGACCCTGAACACTTTCTACTTACTTCCACTGTTCCACGAAATGAATTGAACTTTACCAAAATATCTTAGCGAGCAATGACTTTCTTAAAACATGATAGGAAACACGATTTCAACGTACTTACACTTATTGTTAACAGTTAACAACAAGATATTTACACGGTTCTTTATCAGTTTATGCATATATGACAAATTGTATATATATATGGCAAGAAGTCTTTATGAAAAATTTAGGTTACTGTTTCACAATAATTTATACGACAACGGAAACGATTTAAATGAGATTTTATTATCGTAGAATGCTAGATCTCATAAAATTATATATCGTTAGCGTCTGTATTACAAGTTGTAGTATTACCTCGGAACACGTTAGGTGTTTTTCATTGAGTTAGGAATGCAACATTTTTACTATGTACTTTACAAATTTGCAATATACAACAAAAAAACGCTTAATTTCTTGAATAACTAAGAGAAATACAAGACTTTGAAAATCTAAATTAGTGAAGATAAATATTAGCCGTTATTGGGTTTGGTTCAATAGGGAGCCCTTGCCATTCATAACGAAATTATGCTAATAAGTATTTTAATGGTAATTATTAAAAAGAGGGGCGTCTTCACTGATTTCAGTGAGATTGAAATATATTGTCAAGGTCAGGGGTATCGAACCTATAGCTCGTAAGCCACCTAGGGTCTTTCTCCTCACGGCCTAGTGGCGAGAATTACCCTCTTCATACTTACTTTCATCTGTTTGTGTTGATCACTACATAGAGCTGTTGACATACAAAGCCTCTGGTAGCTTCTGAACTAAAGGTAATAAGAGAAGGAACTGATCGAAAGTCACTACTTAGCGGAGAGGCAGTACGGCACCCATGGTCAAGGTTATTATTCTGAACAACTTTTCTCCATATACATTACCGTCACTAAGCTTCAATTTCTGAGGTGCATTTTATAAAAATATACTTCATACTTCTTAAAAGGTAACCTCACCGATTTTAATGATTTCTGAATTTTTTCATATTATATTCGAGAACGTACAGGTCAATAGATGACATTTCAATCTCATCGACAATTTCTTTCATTAAAAATTATTTATTTATTTAAACCCAAGAAGTAATATATCACTGAATGGCAAACTTGTCGAATGTGACACTTATTCATATCGTTTCTTAACGCTAATTATTTTTATTACTCTAATATTTTACATTGTAACTGCTGAAATTCTTTCCAATTTGAATCCAGCGGTCTTTTTATGAACATCTCTGAAATAAAATAAGGCCAACAATTTTGTAAAAGAAAGAAGTTGTCCAAACCTCGATTTTTACAATATATATGAAAATCATATTGTAAAGAGACTCTTATTCCGACAAGTATAGTCATTGAATACATAGACATATAAATATTTTTGCGTACATCTAGAAATAGGGAACTAGTGTATGGAAAAGTTGCCCATGACAACATATTTTGAGGCCATTGAAATCAGCGCAGATACCCCTATTTCGAATAATTACCATAACAATTTTTACTATCTTATTAATGAAACATACACGCAGACTTACCTTCAGCACTAGTAGATAAAAAATCATCCATCAATTTAAAGAATCTGAAACGGAAAAGAACAAATACATTTACATAATTAATTTATTCAATTAAATTGAATATTTTAAACGTATAATTAAAACATGAAAAAAGTTTATGTTTAAGTATTCATTTCCTTTTTTTAAATTGATTTTATCAGAGATTAATTTAACTTTCTTTGCAATAAATAAAATAATAATACATTCAATTAAAAAAAATAGATTTGAATTAAAATAAGATAAGAGCAATAAAACAAAAATATTGAATGGACCTAATTTCTTGTCAAAAATTGTCAAAAATTGCATTTTATTAAGCACGCAGTCTAAATTAAATACAAACGTATTTTCTGTAAAACTGCTGTTTTCTTTAAAGGGCTTAGGAACTCGAGCTATATACGAAAAGTAAACTTCATGTTTCACATGCTGCTTGATACTAAAATTTCAAGTCTGTTGAAGCAGCATTTTGTAATCCAGATTCTCTATTGTTTTGTTATAATGAAAAAAATGCCTTTTTCTGATTTTTTTTATTTCTCCAATCTTGAAACGAATTCGCATAAAATGTAACGGGTAAAATAAAATGTATTAAAATGGTTATGTAGTGACGTTAAATTTCATTTTTTAATATATGGTACAATACTGAAAGAATTTTACAAATATATTTATAACTTTTCAAGAACATTTATAATATTTAAGATGAAAAAGTACTCATTTTGTAAAATTTCAAACGCTTATGCCCTCTTAACTACAAAATGTTAGGGGAGCGGAGGAACTCAAAGGAGCAGTTACTCAATAAATTATTGTAAAATGATAATTGGTATTCAGCAATAACTGTAAAAATGTTTTAAATACCTCAACCAATTCATTATCTGCAGTTTGTACAACTTTATATTAATGTAAGTGTAATTTCTCATTTCGTAGTTACTAAAATTCGACTTTAGTTACAACATTCACCTTTTATTATAACACTTCTCAATTAATTAATAATTGGCCCCAAAACTAGTATATTACATAGAAAACTTATCCATAATATTAATGAGTACATAAACAAAAGCAACAAAATACCTCCAATGATTAGGTTTATATAAAAATTTATATTATGTATTTCACGATAATAAGTAACTATTTAATTAAATAACAAGTGCAACCTAAAAGGAATTGCCTTTTGGTATTAATGAGGACAGTGAGAATTCTTTCTGTCATAAATGTATCCTGTAGCTTATTTAAGGTTAATTCGTCTGATCGAAGTTCCATGTAATTTGATTAATAAATGTGCTTGAAAAGGGAAAGAAAACTATATTGATAACCGTGAAATCGTTCGAATCTCTCTTTCTGAAAGAGTGAACGTAGGATGAATTTGATTCCACGAAATGTTGCCAGCCATCATTGTGTGAGGATAAAAGAGCTCAATTGTGCTACTCTATAGAGGTCTAATAGGGCCGTTTTAGTGCCTTTCGTCCCTTTTACCTTCCAACCGGATCCTCTATGCCATCGATTAGTCTTACACGACTAGAAGCACTAACTCATTCACCGACTTACCAGCTGCTTTCTACAATCATTTAATATCGATAGATTATGGGGAGGATACCTTTAACCTATTATGTGACCGACCTATAATGACTATTAAGAAGGATGAACTTTTTCCAGTGTGGTTAGTACATGATTGCATATTGGATAATAAACTATCAAAAAATTTCGTCGTTGTTATTTTGTTTTGAAATTTATCTTTCCAAATCCGTCTTTTTCCAAATTTTAATACTATCGAAATTAATGTTACAATATCGTAAATGATGAATGAATAACTCAAGAATTATTCATCAGCGTAATAATACATATCAATGTAACAATGTAAATTTTTTTATTATGTAAATTAATTAACTTTATACGTTTATTATACATTGGTGAAGTTTTCCCGTGTACAGCATGTGTAATGCACTAATACAGCGAAATATATTCTTTAAAATAAAAAGCCAAATGTAAAATGATAAACTAATAAACTTGTTACTAAGTAAAAAATAGGGTTAAAAATAATTAAAAAGAAATTCCTATTTTACTGAACATATAAAATAAATAAGCAGTTAATTAAAGTGTATCTATTTTAAGATGCTATTCATAAGTGATTAGAAGAATACTGTACATTTGAGTTCCTTCATACCCTGTACGGAAGAAATCTAAAGATTTTAGACTATTTCCCACTGTCTTACTACATAATACTACAAATAATATTTTGATTATAATAATCTCAATTTGTATCGAATAATAAAGTTTGATTTTATCTTGAATGTAATTATTATTTACATTATCGGTTGGTAAAACCTTTCTTATGATAACGTTTGACACCATTAAGTGAACATGTATAACTATAGCACCATAAATACATACTTTTAATCTGTAATGTAGGTAATTTTGCTGTATGATGATACATGAATTGATAAGTAAATGTGTTAAGGAACAGATCAGTTTATAAATGCTGAGTATTTTGTATACTGACTGTAAATGAGTTAATTCAGTTGTAATTTTGCTGCTTGAATTTCGACAAGTCTTGTATGCCTATAGTACAATAGAATGACTAGATTTTATAGCTCCATGCAAGAATAAGGTTTATGATATATTGGTCGTTCAAGTGTAACGTGTATCTATAAGATTATATCAGTAACTTAGCTTTACGAATTTATTACAACTAACTGTACACAGAGGTTATTTCTAAATAATAAAATGAAACTCATTACATCAAATATAATTTCGTTGACTTTATACTTGGCGGAACATTTTAAGAAAAGTAAGTATACACATCTTATATTAATAATCTTACATTTTTTGGTATAATATACGGGGTGTCTAAAAAAATTCTTGCCAAATTCACCAAGGCAAACGAAAAAATCTTAATAAACATGAGAGCAAAAACCATTAGTTTTTAAAATCTCCAACTACGTAGATTTTAATATTGTCTTTGTGTAAAATGTAGAACTTCAACGGCATTATTGTGTTTTACAACTTGTAAAAATACATATTTCACTAATTTATTAATCCATTCAGTTCCGACCCTTTTTCACTTTCAAAATTTGTACTCGTTAAAGATATTAAAAGGAAGACAAAGAAATAAAGAAAGATTGACTTTAAATATTGTTAGTTCATCAAAGAATTAGTTTGTTTTCCATGTTTAAAAATTAAGACTATCAAAAACTTCTTGGTCTTTGGCATTGTTAAAGTCGCATGCCGTGTGAAATTCTTAATGAAACTACATATCTTTTAACGCATAACATTCTTAATAACATAGAAAATTTCTCATTAAATTATTTATCGTAGTTATATTCTCTTAATACTTAACATGTATATATTTCCGGTAAACTCTAAACCGACATCATCCATTAAAAGCACATCTTCTTGTAACAATATAAATGATCCCTTTAATTTAGGACAGTACAATGATCTTCCAAATATACAGGACAATGCAACGATCTTGCTTCGGGGAAATGACAGTTACATCACGTAGAGTCACGGCAGATCTATCAAAAACGAGCGTAGTACCTCCAGAGAATGAAATATCGAAAAATGGCTGCTGGAGATCCGCGCACTGCGGCGCCGGCGGGAACGTGAAAAATGACGAGCGTTAAATTAATTTGACTTCAAATTTGAATTACAGATTCGACGTGGACGAGGCAGTGTCTCCGGACAAGGCGCTTTACGTTCAGGTCAATTGGAATTTCCCCATGGAAAGAACCAGCTATCGAAAAACAACCGCGCAGACGTCTTCCTCGTTGTCGGCATTCTGTTCCTACTCATCGTTTCTTACTTTATCAATACCTTGAAAGCTATATGTATGAATCAAACGAACTTACATATTCATAATACTACTGTTGAACCATTACTAATCCAATATTCCATCTACATTTATTTCAAGCGTTCACAACGCTGTATATAAAGGAATAAGGTAAAATTGACATTATTTTCATTACTTGTTAATGATCATACAGTATGCTTATAATATTTAATGTATTAAGCAGTATGTTTTTGTAATATTTAATCTACTAAATAGTATGTTTTCGTAATATTTAATTTTCGAATTGTGTACACTTCATGCCTTTGTTTCTTAGAATTAACTATTTGAGTGTCAGACGGTGTGATCGCGGTTCTACTAATTATTTAAAATTACTGAACTATAGATCTGGAGAGTCAAATAAAGTTTAATTATTTATCTTTCTTTATTTATTTACGATAAACACGATCACACCATCTGGTATTTTTTAATAAAACTTTTGTGAAGACCTTTGGCTTTCAAACGGTTAAACAGTTGGTCACAAACACTTCAGACGTAACACCGAAATGCAGTAAGGAGGACAAAATGAACAGTCGAATTCCTATTTTTTCTTATTGACTTAAAAAGATAAGATCAATTTTCAACATTGAAGACTCATTCTTTTGCTAACCGTTCTGCAGTAAGTAAAGTATACAGACTCGCAAGAAAAGGTATCGTACTCGGAAATTTAAAAAATTATGAAACTTTGTGTGTAAGTAGAGTAAGTCAAGCCTAATACATTGCATTTTTTCGTGCCAAATTTCACTTTAAAGTGATGAAAGCACCCCTTGAAAGAATGCAAATTTTTATTTCCCATGATTATCTTGAAAACAGTAAGAGATGGTGGAAAAAAGTTTAAACAAAAAATACATTGTCATTTCACATCTATAAAATTGCAAACTAAAATTTTTCAAAATTTTGAAACTACCTTTCCTTGTTAGCTTCAATCTACAACTTTATATAGGATAAGTCGGGTAGGAATGGTTCACTTTTTTTACAAATAACTATTACAGAATAAATATCATTGATACCTAACAAAAAAATGTATTTTATGAAAGTAAATACATATAAGAAAAATAGTTAAGATCGGGTCATTTCACTTGGAGTTATCCTACTAGGATTTACGAGTCATGTTACACATACTGTACGTAACTAAGAGTAGACGTGTGGGGAAACACAGGGGAGAGAAGGGCATTTCGCTGTATACTTGCATGCTTTACGTGACACGATGGA